GTTTCAACCAATAAACCCGAACTAAAGCATGACCCGCCAACCATCTCCCAGTTGATCTGCACAGCTAGGACTAGTTACTTGCTCCTCCCAGTTGCAGCCATGGTCGAGTTAAATGGGATTCATGGGTTATATGCGGTGTCATCCCACTATGAAAATGGCAATCCTTTTTTCTGGAAAAAAAAAGGCTGATAATGGACTGATCACCATCTCCAACGGAGGACACTTCGACATAATCCAACTAACTCGACCAACACCACTTCGACATAACATCACAGTTCTTCCCGGAGCTGAGTGACATGTTGCAACAAAGATTGGTGCGTGTGCGGCCGTTCTGGTATCTGGAGGCAGCAGTTTTCTTAGAGGGTTTTGGGGAACATCCCTCCGAAGAACATCTGGAAGCTCAGCAGAAAAACGGAGAGTTGAACTTCAAAGATGGGCATGTAATTACTCTACAGAAACCAAATGGTGTGATACGATATCAGTCAATGGGGAACATCATTCCAAACATGGCCAATCTTTGGTAGTCCTCAAAAATTGTCGTCTTTTGCTGGTTGGCTAGTTATTTTCCATTTATAGCAAGAAACTAAAGGATTTTCCACTACCTATCCACTTGATCGGGGATGACAGGATAGAAAACATATTTGAAATGCAAAGCAGAAATGATTTTGAACGAACAAAGTCCAGCGAGTAGCGTTCAAAATCATGTGTCATTCCTGCTGTCGGTTGGTTGATAGGGGTTCCCATACACAGGTCATCATAGCTCGCAATAAACAAAAACATATGTACAACGCTCCTACAATACAAACAAATATTAACAGTCATTTATCAATGGCATAGTTTAGTGGTCAACACCTATTTATTTGACAACTCATCAACGTAGGGAGTTTTAATTGCTCCTCTAGACATGGTGAACACCGCAAAAAGTCGTTCCAGACTCTCAAAGACGCCGCATCGAAAGAGAGGGCAAATCAGAGGAAAGGTACAACATGTTATACGATTCATCAACATTATCTAAATCTTGTACGGACTTTTTCTGAGCAAAGCATATATAAACATATTACAAATAGAAATCATTTAAACTGTGTGGTATGCGTTTCCATGCATGCACGCATCTAGATTGATTTAGATCATATATGCGTTGCTATCCGTAAGTCGTTTCGGGAAATGCCACATATCTAAAATACACATCGAAATCACATGATCAATGACGTGTTTTAACCGTTATGATCCCATTATACTGGTTGATTCTCAGGGGTTCCCACAACGGGGTATAGGACTCTCTGAGACTCTCAACAAAAACCTAGTTGGAACACTGCAATAATACACCAATTGAGCAGTCTTCAAAGCCTTCTGTCATTCCAGCCTGGCTGGGTAACAGGAAATCCCAATTTATGGCTTATGTAATTCCTATAACTAAGGTTAAATATCATGAAACAAGGCCATAGAAATAACTGTTTTCCGGGCCATGGCTGTGTAACTACCTATTTGCTGATCAACCGACAGACGTTTCTCCCAGGTATAAGCTGGTGTATATCCCCACCTAAAGTTACCTATGTATATAAATGTGTATCTATATAATTATATATATATGTGTGTGTGCATAAATATACATGCATAATCATGCACATATGTATAGCGACCATGGTCAATCTTCTGTAGTCCACAAACAAATGTCATCTTTTTGTTCGTTGGCTGGTGATTTCCCATAGCAAGAAACTCAAGGATTTTCCACTACCCAGGGTTGGGGATGCGACCATATATTTGATCCAACACTTCGCCTACAATGTGGAGCCCCCGTTTACGATATCTAAGTTGCTCATTTATAACCCATAGGATCCATGTATGCTATATATGGTAACATTTACCATCAATATACCCCCAATGTTGGCATATATATATATACCATACATGCATATGGATCCTATGGATAACTCCAATTTCACCCTGATTCATGGGCTGTATAAAGCAACTTATACATCACCGGGGGGGGCCCACATTGTAGTTGTGTTTATCAACAGAAAGCTATCGAAATCGGGGTCCCGTGAAGGAGTAGTGTTTAAAACGGTCATCTTCTTGGAGTCCTACAGAGGAGGGCAATGGCTAGATGAAGAGGCAACATATTTATGGTAATTTAATAATAATTAATCCCACTGTTATTTATGATTATTTAGTTTGAGGTTCTATTTACGGTATTAATTCTAGATATTTAGAATTGCAATGATATCCCACGATTAATTAATCATCGTGTGATATCCCACGGTCAATTAATAATCACGGAATACAAACTCCCAATGGTGAATTGTTCCGGAGGTTTTCGAAGTCATCTGGATAGCCCTTATGATCCAACTCATCGATGACGACTAACAGATTGAACCCATAATTTCACCCCAAAAGTGGCACCCTCATGTAGAACAGCTTGACATTCTACAGCTGATCATGAAACATGTGGCAATTTTGTGTCCTTTTGGTAAAACTTGGTTTGGGCCGGGAGCTGGTTAATCCCATCTATCATCATAGAAAGCTGTTGTTTTTCAGGGGTTTCTCAAGAAACCCCTCGTTTTAACCCAACCAATGGGAATTTGGGACATGAATTCTGTGGGTGAAATCTTAAACCTCGGCATTCTAGATGGAGAAATCACGGGAAATCCACCAAAAAATCAGTATTTACTTTCAGTGTCCACAAAAAATCCACACATGATTTACACCATTTTAGATGGACTATCAGCATAATAAGTATCAGTGTAAATCATCATCATATCCAAATAAATCCACCATAAAATCCACCATAAATCCACCATCAAACCCCTTGGATCACCATAAATCCACAGAAACCGCCTCTGACATCCACAGCGTATTGGGCGGCGCCGCCGGCAAAATCTGCGCCCCAGCCAGCGCCGCTGTATGGTTGGTCGCCTCTGCCATATGCAGGAGCATGGCGTGGGTGAACCAGACCTGGGCCAATGACGCTCAGATTTCATGAGATTTCCCGATGCGTTCGTTGTGGAAGCCCCACCAAAAGATAGAAAAAGTGAAGACTGGTTGGTGGTTGAGTCTACTCCCCTGAAAAATATGACTTCGTCAGCCGGGATGATGACATTCCCAACTGAATGGAAAAATAAAATTCATGTTCCAAGCCACCAACCAGAAGAGTTTCCAGTATTTTAGGATTGGATAAACAGTCTTCTGCATCTTTTCGGGAGTTTCTATCAATCCATGTAAATCCTCAACAAGACTTTAAAGTCAAGATTTGGTCGCAACATAACTTCGGCATTTCCGGACCCTAAAATGAAGGTACTGTACCATATGAGGCCATTTGTTTGGAAAGATATTCCCCGAAAATTCGCCCAAAAACATAGGCGTCATGGTAGGTACTTCCATTTTAGGGTCCTGAAATGGACGAGAACTTTCCAAGTTCAACGACGAGTGGCTGCCACCAGGAAGTAGAAGCTCTTGCAGAGGGACCATCTGGCAATCCAGTTGACCTAGCGAGTCAGAGTCATGGCGCTGGAAAATTTCAGAGGGCCCCAGTTGCTTAGCTGAGTTGAGTTAGAACTCCAATAACTTAGTAGCTTGTATAGAAAGTATACTTGATGGGGGTTACAAGCAAACTCAGAACTGGGGGGCCACCACCTTGTATGCTGATGAATGAAGGTACCTAATGTTTGGAAATCAACGAGTTGTACGCGTTTTAAACCATGGAACCATGGGAAAGAGCTGCGGTTGCCCAAAAACAAAGGAAACTTCCGAATAAAAAATGGTTACACCACAAGAAGTGGCCTCCTAAAGATTCATTCCTGCTGGTTTGTAACTGCTACAACTGTGGGATTTTGGATTGATTGTGGATATGTCTGCACTCGGACACTCGGATGGGTAAAAGTAAACTAACAGTTATACAACTGTGGGAGTCCTATCTGTGTGTGTTCAAGAAACTGTTTTTCTTTGTGGAGTCTTCACTTTTATGTGTTCACATTCATGCTGTCACATGCTTGAAAAATCATAAAACATCATGAAACCAGTTCTGGCAGTTCCTTATTGCCATAGGTGCAAATCCTGCTACCAATGCAGTCCAAACCTGAACAAGATCTGGTTGCTGGTGCAATAACCATCTTGAAAAATATATGAGTTCGTCAATGGGAAGGATTATCATGGATTATCCCATATATGAAATGGAAAATCAAAAAAAATGTTTGAAACCACCAACCATTGACATGGTATTTATTCCCAGATTATACCATATCAACATGAATTGTTTGAAACCACCAACCAGAGATTCGTGTTTGATGTTCATGTACCCGTCTCTTGAGCATCTTGAGCTCCATCCCCGTTGAGATGTTTCAAGAAGTCATGGGGTTGTTCCAACTCATCCCATAGATGACCATGACTTAGCTTTGTTCAACCCATGGGTGTCCTGTCCGGACACCATCGGACACCCTCATTTTCTTTGAAGATCTTGGAGATCGGTCTGTGGATCTGAGCGTTGCCAATCAGCCAGAGGGCCCCTGCAAAAATGACAAATTCTTTGCTGGGAAATGTAGATATTCCCATGGAAATACCAAAAGACTAGTTAGGATTAGTTGGTATCCTACTGTAAGATTGACCTAGTGAGGATCATCCAACCCCGTAACTCTCAGTTTTGTTTCGCTGCCTTTCGAAGGGCTCGCAGGAGTCCAAAATAGGACCTGAGACGACGAAGGCGCGGTTTGAGGTGGAAATGACGTGCCCAAAAAATTGAGGATTGAAATTGCTGTTTTCCCCTGTCTTTTTGCACATACATGTCAGTTGCATTGACATTTCACATATCCAAATTCATCCTTGGCATGCGTGAAGCTGCCCCTTTTGAAATCTCAAGACATTTGTGCCTTGGAGAAACGGAGAGGACGCGGTTTGGGAGGAGAGACTGGGCTTGCACAAAACGAGAAGTGTAACAAGTTCTGGTCTAGAAGCTCAAACCTGACTGTGATATCAGCAGGTTATGAGCCCAAAGCTCTGACCGAAAACACATGATGATGAGACGTAGAGCTACTCAAGAGGAAATAGCACAGGGAGAAGCAGAGATGAGACTGGCAGAGAAACGTATGCAGAAAGAAGCAGAAGAGAGAGGCGAAAAGCCGTTAGAGGATAGCCAGGAAGGTAGCCACAAGGAGGTTTCAGGTGAGGTGAGTGCTCCTCCAATAGCTGATGGGGTTAGAGAAGATTCCAAAGGAAACTCTAGTCCTGACAATACGTCTAGCGCTGCCCCTGGAACAGAAATGAGAAGGCCACCAACCTTGCCACCAGCAGAGCCACCAAAGTTTGCACCTGAGGAATTTGCGTCGCCTGGACATAGGACTCCAAAGCCGCAGGACCAACAAGACAAAGGAAGTGAGCAGGCTACCATGTCTTCCAAGAAGGAGACCGGTAGTAACTTGGGTCCTGAGGCATTCGAGAACAAGAAGAGCCAGGCGAGAGCGTCTCCAACAGGGGATGGGAAGGGAACAGATAGGAGAGCAGAAAGCTCGGCGTTTCCACCTCTTTTCACCCCTGAGCAGTTGCAACACATGGCTTTCATCCACAGTCAAGCACCATGGTTGTATGGCCAACCTCACTCTGCATTCACACCTAGTGTTCAGAGACCTGCCTTTCTGAGTCTTGAAGAGGATAGGATCGGTAGGGAAATGTTCGAAAAAGATCAAATGTTGGAACAGTTGAGAGAACAGCAGCAAAAAGATCAAAGAGAAAGGGATGAGTTGAGAGGGTATCTAGACAAGCTTGCCGCAGAGAACCAAAAGCTGAGAGATGCCCTGAACGAGTTGAAGAAGCCATCAGAAGGAGGAGATTCGAAGTTCTCAACCCCCGAGGAGGCTGCAGACCCCCTGAAGGATGCTGTAGACCCTCAAGGTCAGGCTCAGAGAAAGTCGATGAAAGACAAGGAGGCTGCAGACCCCCAGAAGATTTGGTCAGAAGCTGCTGAAGGACGCATGAGCGAAAGAGACTTGTTTCCATGGAGGAGTAAGGAGGCTGTAGACCCCCAAAGAAGTCAAGAGCGAAAGACAGAAGGAACGAAAGAGTCTCCAGTGGAGGACCGTGGGTCAGGATCTGGTCTGACCGAGAAGTCGCTGGAGTTCATGGCCATCATGGTAGAGTCAATGAAAGAGATGCAAAAGAAGGTCAGTGAGGGGAGAGACGATGCCGGCATGGTGAAGGGCGTAGAGGTGGTGCGAACAGGCATCTTGGAATTGCCGCCACTTCAGCCTTGCAATGCGTCACAAGGCCCACTTCAACTGGGAGACTGGCTGCTGATGGTGGAGCCTGTCGCCGCCGATATGTCTGCAACAAGTGAGGAGTGGTGGCGCGAGATGACAAAATCAGTAGAGGTATGGTATCAGGCGCACATGGCGCTCAATCCGTTGGATCGGATTGTTCACAATGCCACTCCGCCTCCTGGACTTCAACAAGAGCGCTGGCAACGTCTGGAGCGAAGGATGTCAACTATGCTTCTCCATGCTGTGCCAGAATCAGTACGTGATGAGTTGGTTGCTGGCAGAAAGATGGGAGTTTTCTCAATCCTCACACACCTTTTTCTTACATACTGCCCTGGTGGTGTCATGGAAAAGACTATGCTTCTCAGAAATCTTGAAGAACCGCCAGAGGTGGCGAACATAGGGGATGCACCGGCTGCGCTGAGAAAGTGGATGCGATGGAAGGCCAGAACTGCTGAAATAGGTGCAGTGATTCCGGATGCTGCCCTCCTGCTCAAAGGCTTGAACAGACTCACCAAGCGGGTTCTCGATAGCAACCGTGATCTACAATTCAGGATTCAACTTGCGAGGTCGAGCCTTGGAGTCGATACGACTCCTACTGAGTTGTCTGTCAGCAGATTTGCCACACATCTCTTGGCGGAAATAGAGCAAGTTGCGTTGACTGAGAAGCGCACTGGAGGACAGGGTTCAAGACAGGATGCTCCCAAGTTGAAGTCCCTCGACATGGACAAACAGGACAAACAGGACAAAGGAAAAGGTAAAGGGAAAGAAAAGATAGGAGAAGAAGAAAAGGGAAGACCGGCTTGCAAGTTTTATCTTTCAGAAGGAGGCTGCCGAAAAGGTAAGGAGTGCAGCTGGTCACATGATGTGCGAGATGAGAAGAGGCGTTGCTACACCTGTGGTTCGACTCAGCACTTGTCGTCAACATGCACGAGGTCAAGAGGAGGAGCCAGCAGTGATGCTAGCCCTGTGAGACAAAAGACAGCGAAAGGAGAAGAGGAGAAGTCGTCGTCAGCGAAAGACAGCGAAGCGGCGTCCAGCTCTTCTCAGGACGTTTCCATGAAAAACTTGCTGGAAGAGGCGAACAAGATGCTGAGGTCTTTGTCTACAGGAACAGGGTCACAGGCTTCTTCAACCGTGTCTCCAATGAGTCAAGAGGAGTCCAGAGCTGAGGTGGTTGAGAAGTTACAGCAACAGTTGAACTCTCTTCGAATGAAGACTTTGAGGCTTCGGAGGATGAATCAAGGGACACAACAGGGTCTTCTGGACAGCGGGGCATCTCACTGCTTGAGGCCTCGAAAACAAGGAGAAGATGTTCAAGGATATCGGAAAGTAGATGTGGCGCTAGCTGATGGAAACCGGGTTCAGATTCCCATCACACCTGGAGGGACCATGGTCAGTGAAGACCCCTCAGTCGAACCAATTGTGCCGATGGGAGCTTTGATGGAGAAATTGAAATGTGAGGCGACGTGGAAAGAAGGTGAGTTGATTGTGGTTCACCCTTTCCGTGGACGGCTTCCCATCACCTACGACAATGGCTGCCCACAGGTTCCAAGGCAATTGGCCTTGCAGCTCATCGAAGAACTAGAAAATCAGAAGATGGGCATCGGAGAGAAAGCTGAGGATTTTCAAAGAGAATTTCAGTGGATGAAGTCGTTGGTAGAAGCTCATCCGCTGCTGAGGTCATTGCCTCCTTGGATCAAACAAGGGCTTCCATGTGAAGTGGGAGAGTGGGGACAGCTGCCAGCGAACAAAAGAACGAGAAAGCGAATGAAAAGAGATGGCGTTTGTTCTTCATCTTTTTGCGGGCTCTGAAGAAGGTCACACCTTGAAGAGAGGCTGGCAACAAGCTGGAGGACAGGATTGGCAGATCTTAGAAGTAGATCAGGTGAGAGGAGAAGGTCAAGACATGCTGGCAACGACTCCATATGGTTCCCTTCTTAGAGCCGCTTTGGAAGGAAAAATAAAGGGCATAGTAGCTGGCCCCAACTGCAGGACACGAAGTGTTCTGAGACACTACCCTATAGAGGGGAATCCACAAGCTCCGCGACCAGTTCGAAGTTGGGGAGGTGGAGAGTTTGGTGCAGAAGGTTTGACTGAAGAGGAGAAGAAGCAGGTACGAGAAGATGACCTGCTGCTGTGGAGGACTATCTTTCTCTACGTGGTGGCCGTTTATGCTGCCAGGGCGAGAGGAGAAAGCATGGACCCAGTGCTCAGTCTGGAGCAACCTGCAAGTCCCAAACAGTACAAGCCAGAGGTGGTCAGCTTTTGGGACACAACGGAGTGGAAGCAGTTGAAAGAGGAGTTCAACCTGAAGGAGTGCACTTTTCAGCAAGGACATCTGGGTGGCAAGACCGCCAAGCCAACAACTTTTGGTGGGTCGCTTGACTTACACCCAGAGGATTACAAGATCAAAGCACCCAAGCATCAAGCCCGGATCAACGACTCGAAGGAACTGTCAAGATGGCCGCCTGCTGTGATGAGAATGCTTGCAGAAGCGCTGATGAGGCAGGTGTATAAGGCCAAGCCGAAGCTGAAACCATTGTCATGGCAGGAACACTTGGCGATGGGTCATGTGCCGTATCGAAGAGATTGTAGGGTATGTCAAGAAACTATGCAACAGTGTGCCCCACATCGAAAGGCAAAGCATGTGGCAGCTGGGGTGCTGTCCATTGACACCGCTGGACCGTTGATTCCAGCGTATGACCAAGGTGGCGGAAAGGCTCGGTACTTCCTGGTTGGAGCTTTGACATGGAGAGTTCCCCGAGGATTTGAGAAGCTGAAGCAACCACCGCACGAGCCTTTAGAGGGTGATGAACCGAAGATAGAGGAAGGCGATGAAGAAGAAGCAGGAGAAGGCTTTGATGAAGAAGATATTGGCGAACTACCGCCATTGGCCGCTGGTGAGCAGGGGTTGGCTGGAGGAGAGCTAGTCCGCCTCCCAGCAGGCCGCGGTGAAGAGGCGGGTGAGCAGGGGTTGGCTAGAGGAGAGCCAGTCCGCCTCCCTGCCCCACCGCAGGGCGAAGAGGCCGGTGAGCAGGGGTTGGCTAGAGGAGAGCCAGTCCGCCTCCCGGCCCCGCCCGAGGAGGAAGAACCAGGGAAGTTGGAGGAGGAAACAGAGCTGAGAGTGTACAGAATGGCACTCCCAATGGTGACAAAGACAGCAAGGGAGGTGAGCGCGACGGCGATGGAGTTCGTCTTGCGCTTGAGAGCTGACGGCTACCACATTGGCCGCATACACTGCGACCGGGGGCACGAGTTTGAGGGTGCCTTCGGAAGATGGGCCAGAAGCCGTGGCATTTACGTCACAAAGACGGCTGGAGACGACCCGCAAGGGAATGGAAGAGCAGAGGTGGCTGTAAAAGCCATAAAAGCCCAAGTGAGAAGGACGTTGAGACAGGCAGAGCTGGACTCATCTCACTGGCCATGGGCGTTGAGGTACGTGGATGAAATCAACAGGTGTGTGCGCCGAGGAACCACGCCTGACTGGCCGAGGTTTCATCAAGAAGTGCGAGTTCGAAAGCGCACCTGGAGGAGAGGTGCCTTCGAGCCAGTGGTGGAGCGTGTCCACTATCTCTGTCCGTCAATTGAAGACCATGGACATTGGGTACAAAAGCCAGGAGAGCCACCACGAGTTACAAAGTATGTCATGCAGCAAACGACAGAGCCAGTGGACAACTCAGTGTGGGTCGCCCTGGAAAAGACTATTCCCGACGCTTGGAGCGTGAGGAGAAGATTGAGAGGAAAGACAGCAGTAAGAAAGCTGCATCGGTCTCTTCGAGAAGAGAAGGAAGATGAGGCCGAAGACAAGAGAAAGGAGGAGGTGCAGAGGATCCATCAGGTCATAGAAGAAGAAATGAGGTTGATTGTAGACGAAGAGCCACAGATCGCGGCCGACATGATGCGCATCATTGGAAGCCTGAAAAAGATGGCAACTGGAGATGATGCGACTGAAGAAGTACTTCAGACCAAGATCGTCTCACCGAAGGAAGTTGCTCGCTGTTGGAGCGAGTGGCGTGAGGCGATAGACAGCGAGGTGAAATCGCTGACGGAGGAGAAAGAAGCACTTCGTCAGCTCACAAAGGAAGAGCATGAAAAGATGAAGGTAGAAGCAGAAAAAAGAGGCAGGAAAGTTGAGTACCTGCCTTCAAAAGTGGTATTCACCTTGAAGCCGTCACCAGGTGGCGGAAAACGAAAGGCGAGATGGGTTGTCTGCCCTGAGTCTCCGAAACTAGTAAATTTACTTTTTGCCTAAATTTAATGTAAATGAACAATTTACTTGGTACCAAGTAAATTTTTGAGAAAGTATTTTTTTTAGTAAATTTTTGGCCAACATAGAAACAGCATAGAGACCGCATAGAAACAACATACAAACTGCATGTGGTGGTTTTTATTTGTGGAAGAAATTTATGGAAAAAACATCACACTTCACTACAAAGAAGCATTTTTTATGGTAGAGTTCATTTCTGTTGTTGAAAGCTGGTGTTAGGAATAAGGTAAAATATGAAAAATGAAAGTTTTGTATTGCAGAAGCTGTTTTTCCAACACATGGAATTTTGTTTAACCTGACCTCATGCAAATGTCAATTGTGGGATTGCAATGTTTCTTGTAACCTGCAAAGCTTCAACTTCTCAAGTACATGATAATATAATGGTCATGAAAGCTAAAAGTAGGTTACTTTCTTTGTTTCTCACAAGTAATGAACCCAACTTGGAAAGCCGTAAATTCTGCTTTGCCTGTGGTGAAACTATTCAAGTTTATCCTTTGCACTGCATCCACATTAAATGGCGCTCCTTCCAAGCAGCTTTCATTGAAGCCTACCAGTGTTTGCTGCCATGCAAGCAAGACTTCCAAAGGATCTGTGCACGACGCATAGTGGACTCTCCTTCGTAACACCATATCAGGAAAGGGTGTATACAGTTGGAAAATTGCAAACTGTGCCATGCGAAATGAGTTTTGCTTGTGACATTAAAAAAAATCACATCAGTTGCCTCAAAGTGTTCATTGAGTTGCTTGTGGAGCTGGGCCATTGAAAGCCCTCCTTGGAATGCTTTGGTGTAAGTGTATTGTGGTTCTGGAAGTGCTGTGTGGCCATAGGTAGGCGAGAATGTTTCCAAAATGTCTTTGAGCTCCAAATTCAATTTCAAAAATAGACGAATGCGTAGGTGGTGCTGATCACCTTGATCCATGTAGTGTGACCAAAGATCAAACATGCAATGGGCTAGTCCAGCAATGTCACTGGCTCTGCCACGAAGTTTGGGGTAGCCTTTCTTGGGCTGGAACATTGTCAACTTGTCCAGTTTCATGCGATAGGGGTGCTTTGCTTGGTTTCTCTTCTGGTGTTGTCAAACAAAGACAAAGATCTCTTGGAGGTTGTCCATTTCGTCTCCAGGGAGGATGATGAACACCAAGAGATGCAGCAAGAAACCATAAGTAGCTCTCAAGTAACTTCTCATGTATTGCAGCAACAGCTCAAAAGGTGAAATCAGTGTGTCATATGAATTTGGATTCCCAGGTAAGTCTCAGGTAACACATCAGACCTTGCTGTTCGTGTTTTCCAGCTGCAGGTGAAGGCAAGTCAAACTGCACAGCACTATTGTGCAATCAGAGATTTTATTTTGATCTGAATACAAAGGATGTCCAAGTAGATTGGTGTCATACTCAGGTATGGGTTATCTTTGGATCATTTTCTGATGAAATGTTGATGTTTCCTGGATGAAAAATGTTGTTTGTTATGAAAAATGATATGCAGTTTGTACGCAGTTTGTACGCAGTTTGTATGCAGTTTATATGCAGTTTATATGCAGTTTTGAAACTACATACAGTTTTGGTAAAACTACATACGCTTTTGTCAAAACCGTATGTAGTTTTAAAACTGCATATAAACTGCATATAAACTGCATATAGTTTTTTGCAATTTTTTGGACAAAATTATAAGTTTTCTGATGAGAATTGGTTTATCTTTGACCTTACATGTGAAGATACTTCATGGGAATGTGGTTCAATGGACTCCCCAAGTAAGCCAGCAGTGCCATCCCTCTAAACCTTCTCAAGTGTTGCAACTCCCAAGGCTGAGTTAACTGCAATCCTCAAAATCTTCACATGTAAGTTCTCAAGTAATGCAGCTTCTAAAGTGCAACTTGACTGAAACATTCAAATGATCCAATAGTAAGTTCACAAGTAATGCAACTTCAAAGACTGAGTTCGCTGGAATGTTCAAAACCATGACAAGTGAGTTCTAAAGTAATGCTGCATCTCCACATGATGACTCCAATGGGATCTTCAAAACCTTCACAAGTAAGTTTCAAATAGTGCAACAAAACACGAGAGAAAATCATGTTTTGGAATCATTGTATCACAAGTAAATTCTGAAGTAATGCAACTCCACATGAAACATGTCACAGGTAAAATCTCAAGTAAAGCAGCCTTTTTTCACAGTGCGCACTCTGCCAATATAGCTCTGAAAAGTTTCTGAATTAAAGGCATCCATTGCTTACCAGTAAAACAAATTCACAAGTAAAGCTGCCAAGCCCAAAACATGCTATAAAGCGCTATGTGTAATGACTTTCATGTCAAGCAGCAGGATCTCAAGTAAATACATAAAGACAATAGATATGTTGCTGCCAGCTTTCTATGCCCAGAGCTTGTTCAACAAAAGCAAGTCAAAATTCATCTAGTCAGTGTGGCAAAATCATGTTGCCACCTCCACAGTGAATTGCCTCTGAATGAAATGTTTGTCAGGGATTCCCTTGGCAGTGCTCAAACAGGAGAAGAAAAACATCCAGACATTGATGATCAGCATCCAAACTTTGTCCACCTAGTACATTCCAAGAAGGTTGTTTTTTTTTTTACCTGTGGTAATTTTGAATGCATGCCATATGCATTCTTCTTTCAATAAAATGAAACAAAGCATATTACAACCCTTCCAAAAGAAAACAGACCGGGTAATAACAAGTCCAACACTTGAAGATAAGAGGTCCAAAAATGGAATGCAACAATTCCAACAATATTCCAGAACCAAAATCATATGTTTTTAAGTAAAGCCAACGAAAAAAGAAAAGAACAAATACAAAAACATGTGCATTTCAAGGCAATTTGTCTTGCAATACTTCTCAGAAATTAAACAAAACATCAAAAACGATATATTTTTTCAACCAAAAAAAATGTCCCAAAAAATTACTTACCAAGTAAATTTAATTTACTTACCAAGTAAATTTAATTTACTTACCAAGTAAATTTAATTTACTTACCAAGTAAATTAATTTACTTACCAAGTAAATTTACATTTACTAGGGAAATTTAAGTAAATTTTCGTGTAAATAGCTAAATTTAAGTAAAATTTGTGGTTAGTAAATTTACTAGTTTCGGAGACTCAGGGTGCGGAAACTTTGAAGAAAAGAGAGAAAATGAGGAGACATATTCAGGGGGAGCAGACGCCACTGCCTTCAGAGTTCTGGTGTGGGTAGCCTCAAAGTTTGATTGGGTGGGCTGCATCATCGACATCAAAACCGCGTTTTTGAACGCCGAAATGGAGGTCACTGAAGATGAGAATGACCTCCTGATTTTGCCCCCTTCAATCATGACAGAAAAAGGATATCTGCCCAGAAACACAGTCTACAAGCCACTGAAGGCGGTGTATGGATTCCGCCGATCGCCTCGTCTGTGGGGAAACCACAGAGACAAAGTCATGAGAGGTTTGCAGATCAAAGTTCAGAGAGGAGAAAGTGAAGTTGAAGTCTGCTTGGTTCAGCTGGAGTCAGAGCCGAATCTATGGAAGGTGATCCCAATCGAGGGGGAGGACGATATGAGAGAGGCATCCCTGTCAAATCACAAGGTGCTCGGGTTGGTGATGACCTATGTGGATGACATCTGTGTCGTTGGTGAAGACGCAGTGGTGTCGTCACTGATCGAGGCACTTCGGTCAACGTGGACCACATCAGAGCCAGAATGGATTGGTGAAACTGCAGTGAGGTTTTTGGGCATGGAGGTGGTGAAGTTACAGAATGAAAGTGGGAGTCGCTGGTTCATCACACAGGAATCCTACATCAGAGACCTCTTGTCCAGATACGAAAGTGAGGAGACAGTCAGAGAAAGAAGGACTCCAATCACTCGAGACCAATCCATCATGGAAGAAGATCCAGAAACTCCTGCCTTGCATCAAGTCAGGAGGTGTCAAAAAGAGGTAGGAGAGTTGCTGTGGCTGGTCACGCGAACCCGTCCAGACTTGATGTTCAGTGTCGCAAGAATGGGAGCCAATGTCACCAAGGCTACCAAGTCTGTTTTGGAAACAGCGTCTCAGACGAGAGGCTATTTGAAGAGGACGGTGGTTGAAGGAGGAGAACAAAAAGAAAGAGAAGTCTGCATCCAAGCTTTTGCAGACGCATCGTTTTCTCCAGATGGAGAGGAGTCACATGGAAGTTACGTTGTGTTTGCCAACGACAGTCCCCTTTTTTGGAGAAGCGGCAGGCAGACAACCGTGACGTTGTCCACAGCCGAGTCTGAACTGACAGAGCTAGTAGAGGCAATCAGCGCTGGCGAAGCTGTGGCGGTGATAGTGAGCGAATTGTTCCAGGATATCAAGAAGTTTGCCTGGTCAGATAGCCAATCAGCTTTAGCTATCTTGGTTAATGAAGGTGGAAACTGGCGCACTAGGCACTTGAGGATGAGAGCTGCCTACACCAGACAGGCAGTCCACTCTGGTGAGTGGGTGTGGGCCACCTTCCTGGTGATCGAATGGTCGCCGACATTGGCACAAAGGCATTGGCATCACAGCGGATCGATGTCCTCAAGCAGCATCTTGGCATGTCATCCATCCCAATGCAGCCCAGTGTGATCGCACCTGCGACCTCTGTGGCAGCATTGAAGCCCAGTGTGATCGCTCATGCGACCTCTGAGGATACAAGAAAAGGGATGGATGGTGCGAAGATGTCACAAGCGGCAACGGCCTTGAAGCTCATCACGTTGGCCGCTATGATTTCAGCTGGAAAGAGTCAGGAGGAAGAAGATATGGAAGAAGGACAGAAAGAATTACAGCTCATCATGGCAGCATTTGCCATCCTGGTGGTCTTGATCACTCTTGTGGCCCAACATGTGTGGAAGGTAGGAGTAGGATTGTGGAATCGGGGAAACGAACAGATTCCCGAAAAGCAGATCCGAAGTCTCCCTGCGCAAGAAGGTCGAAGGAGTGATCAGACGGCCGATCAAAGAAAAGCGGGTAGCGCTGATGGTGAGAAGGGGTTGGCTGAACGAGAGCCAGACCGCCTCCCATCAGGGGACAGGGAGAAGGCTTTGCAGCCCTCCCTGCTGGGTGAGAAGGGGTTGGCTAGAGGAGAGCCAGTCCGCCTCCCCGGCCCTGAGGCGACATCGTCTGGTCTCTCAGGTGGTCCCGGCCCCGCAGAAAAAGAAAGAAAGAGCGGTCAAAAGGCCGGCCAACGAAAGGCAGGTTGCGCTGATGGTGAGAAGGGGTTGGCTAGAGGAGAGCCAGTCCGCCTCCCATCAGGGGGCAGGGAGAAGGCTTTGCAGCCCTATCGGGTGAGAAGGGGTTGGCTAGAGGAGAGCCAGTCCGCCTCCCCGGCCAGGAGGAAGCGTCGTCTAGCTCCTCTGGCGGCCCCGGCCCTGCACAAGAAAGCCTTGAAAAAAGAATCGAAAGAGAACTGGAAAAGATCAAAGAAGAAGAGACAGAATTGTGGCGTCAGGCCAATTTAGCTCCGCTACCACCAGTTCTGATTGAACCGGTAGAAGAGAGTGAAGAAGAAGGTCTTCGATTTCCAGTCATGAGAACGAAGTATGGATCAGTATATCACAGTGCCCTCACTTGCAAACATCTCCAAGGAGCCAAAGTCAACTTGCCTCGAACTTTCAAATGGTGCCAAGTTTGCAGAGGGGTGGCGCTCAGAACACGAGGGCGTCCACCACCAGGAACGAATCTTTTGTTGTCAGCTCATGGAAACGCAATCCATACTGACGATCGATGCCCTTGGGTCAAAGATGCGAAGCCAACACCATTTTGTTTGACTTGCAAAGAGCGTGAGAGGGGCTAGTTTGAGTCAGGAAATTGGAAATCCCTGACGGAATTCCAAAGGGGGAGTGCTGTTTTCCCCTGTCTTTTTGCACATACATGTCAGTTGCATTGACATTTCACATATCCAAATTCATCCTTGGCATGCGTGAAGCTGCCCCTTTTGAAATCTCAAGACATTTGTGCCTTGGAGAAACGGAGAGGACGCGGTTTGGGAGGAGAGACTGGGCTTGCACAAAACGAGAAGTGTAACAAGTTCTGGTCTAGAAGCTCAAACCTGACTGTGATATCAGCAGAAATCACCATAAGAAAATCACCAATCATTTGGCACGCCATAACCAATCATAACCAATAACCATTAACCATAGATATTCCCATATTAATCACCATTAAATCATTTGGAAAATCCATGTGTTGCCGACCCATTCAGAAAGTGCTTGAATTTTGTTGAATCCAAATGGATTGAAATCCCCATAGGCCCATAACCAATCCCTATTACCCGACCTGGTAAACACACAAAAAGCTATGGAAAATGGTCATTAATAGTGGATTTTCCCATGAAAAATTGTGATTTTCCATAGTTTTTTGTATGTTTACCAGAGGGTAAATATCATGATCCCATCATTCTCCCATCATTATCCCAGTATCCCATCATGGATTTCCAATATATTTCCCTTATAATGAATGGAAGTCATGAGGATATCAGTGAAGTCAAACATTCATCCAAATCCTCCATGACATTCAAAAAACTCATGGTTTAAGTCAGTCGTGGTAAACCACGAGTAATTTAAATGAATTTTAATGAATTTAACCACAACCGATCAGATTTGAGTCAACATCAATTAAGTAAACATCATAAGTAGGAATGGTAAAATTCTTGTGATCCTCATGATTTTTGAGTCATTTGTTCAGCGATTTAATCAGTTACCCACCGTAAAGAGTGGCATTATCCAATGGGCCATGGGAGTTTAAGCAACTGTGGGTAAACCAACGATGGCAAGAACATGGGGCTATGTCATGGGACATTTTGAGGGAAAAAACACCAACAAATAGCGTCAGTATCTGCAATGCGGCCCCCTCAGCTATGTTGCAAAGTGTGGGATGATCTCAAATCCGACGATATCGTATGATATCGCGCGGGTTCACCACACAGATGATGGATTTGACGACGACAACAACAACAACAACAACAAACACATAAATGTATGGTTGAACATACAAAATGATAAAAAGCACCAATCACGGTTCATGTCCGCCAGCCATTATGTTGACCAACATGGGGTTGGAAATGGATCAAAGCAGAATCATTTTAGATGAATCACCTATAGATGGTGGAGACAGAATGAAATACAAAATCATAGTTGCATTCACTTACTACCCTCTGGTAAACATACAAAAAACTATGGGAAATCACCATTTGTCATGGGAAAATTCACTATGAATGGTGATTTTCTATAGTTATGTTAAATTACCAGAGGGTACCTTCATCTATCTCTGGTTGGTGGTATACCTATCCCTCTGAAAAATATTCGGCAATGGGAAGGATTATCCCATATATTCTAGAAGAAAAAAAAAACATGTTTGAAACCACCAACCAGATTGGATAGAATAAGGTTTTGATGGAGCAAAGATGCGGAAAATCCTGTGGTAGGACTCGGAGTGTTTGCTCCAAATAGGAGGGAGGAACATCAAACTCCTCTTGAAGCCATCACCACAACCCTTGGGCGTGGCAACGGATTAAATGATAATGAGCTTCCAATCATAAAAGGTTTCGTCATACATGACAACGAACTCTGACAAACTAGCTGGACTACCTTTCCACTCTAAAATGGGAGTAGGGCAAATCCAATTCCAACGGACAAGATATGATTAAATAAGTGGATCCAGCTGGGGCACACAAACCGGTCGCTGGCCTTTTCAGGGAACCCTTAATGATGGCAAACCTAGTGTTACCGGTCCCGAAAAAATGCCGTACAGGTTGTGATCAGAAAGTCCGGAAAGTATCTTCAATATATATATATATATATCCGATAGAGCCAATAATGTCCTTTTGGTAAAAATAGGTTCGGGCCGGTTTGTGGTTAATCCCATCTATCATCATAGAAACTTGTTGTTTTTTAGGGGTTTCTGAAGAAACCCATCGTGTTTCATCAACCAACCAATGGGAATTTGGGACATCGATTCGATGTATCCGAACTATGGGGATGACCGGAAAACACGAGACATAGATTGATGATGTTCTTCAACAGCAGAATTAGTCTAGACTTGTCCTATAGACTCGTCCCACTTTTTTCTGGTTGGTGGTTTTAGCATGTTTTAACCATCTTGAAAAATATGAAAGTCAGTGGGAAGGATTATCCCATATATGAAATGGACAATAAAAAATGATTGAAACCACCAACCAGCCACTTTTTTGAAACCAGCCAAATTCCAGACTAACCAGCCATTCCCAGCAACTCATCAGTTCACAGCGTGCTAAAATGGGTCCATTTTAATCATTTTACAGTACCTCAAAAAAAAATACAAATCTCAAAGACTCAAAGATGTTTCAAAAGAGTCATTCTCTATACTTACTATTCATTCTTGTCATGTTAAAGAAAACTCCAAGATTTCACTCCATCAACTTCGCCCAGCAAAGCCAAGCCCGCCCAGCAATGCCCATCACCGGGGCACCCAATGGAGATGAGGCGAGTGAGACGTAAAAAGGTGACGGAACCCAGTAAGAGCTTTCGATTTCGATTTCCCTCGGAAGGCACGTTTCAGGCGCGTTTCAGGCGTCATGGTTGAGGTTGGTCAGTTGGTCAGTTGGTCAGTTTGTGGAGAAATGTCAGTGATAGCCATACAGGATGGTGCCTCCCCATTGATGTGAATGTTGCTTTATAAATCCCATTAACTATAGTTGCATCTACCATAAACCATAGAATTCAGCCACTTTTTTGAGTCAACTGAACGCTATCTTGGTTCCCCATCCTGTATGAAATAGCCCTAGATTAATGGTGATCAACCACTTTGGACGGGATGCAGTTGTCCAAGTAGGGAGTTGGTGACTTCCAGGAACTGGTGACCAACATCAATGGGAGATCTCGAGGATCCTAAAAAGGAGGTACCTACCACATATAAGGCCTAAATTTCAGGCCTAAATTTCAGGGGATATACCCCCAAAATATGGCCTGAAAAATGGTACGTTTACGTACCTCCATTTTAGGATCCTGGAATTCCCATTGACAACATCATCCCTCCATAAATCACAAATCTAAGTTGCCGGCGATGACCATCAATAAACTATACACTGTCAAACATGAAGGAGATATGATGTTTTGTTGTACCCTCTGGTAAACTAACATAACTATGGAAAATCACAATTTATAGTGAGTTGTCCCATGAACAATGGTGATTTTCTATAGTTTTTTGTATGTTTACCAGAGGGTACATTAATGTGTGAACATGATTTATGAGTATGATCTATGGAATCTATGGCTGGATATACCGCATCAATGAACATACGTCGACACGCATGCACACGAACAGCATCAGCAAGTATCAGTAAGACACATGAGGCCTGAGTGTTCGATATTGTTGCGGAAATGAACATGATTCAACCAACCTCCCCAACGATGACTTTCGCGGATCAGATTCGCCTTGTAACCCTCCGTGATGTGAGCTCCGGAAACGCATGACTGACCATCAAGACACATGGGATTTGTTTGGTGCTCATCCATCCCATGCCATGGGAATGCGTTCATGGCTAATGCCTATGAAATTGGTGGGTGACCATCCCCTTTGATGCAGCAAGCCGTCACTAAAACTCACCTCATCACTTGGTTTTCCCAGCCGCTTTAGCCGTTTAGCCATGTGGTTTTTGTTCTCCCGAAATCGGATAAAAGGAACATGTTCAGGAAAGATCTACGAATCTACTGGTGGAACCTATCCGAAAAATCCATTGTACAGATGATGTTTCCACTCGGTCGCACGATAAAGTCTCTCTTGAATACGATTCTTGGTAGTATTGCTGATTTCAGAATGTTTAGTTTCCGTCTGTCCCCCTTAACAAACTATAGCTGAGTCATGCTGAGTCATGCTGAGTCCATGTTCAACCCTCAAGATTTCCAGGCTACTCCCAAACCTGGAGCCACATACTTCACACTGAAAAATATGTGGGAGATACGGGTAATCATTATATCAATTATATCTGGATCATTATAAACTGTATAAACCATCAGGAATCATTACTAACCAGTACGTGGGGGTGCAGTTGAGGTTACAAACGGCTAATGACCATGGGGTTTAACATATAGCCCCCACAATTTGGAGGTTACTAGTGGGTATTAGTGGCTATATGTCTGGTAATCACCCCTAGAAGTTAGGATATAACTAGGATAAAACCTAAACATGGAGGTTATATAATTTATGGAGGTTATATACAATATGTTGTATCTTTTTTATATAGTTAAACCTACAATGTGGGGCCCTCAAACGATAGCTAAGTTGGTGCAAATAACTCCAAAAACCATGATGTATGGTACTTATAACTATAGTTTTCATGTTTTTTAAAAGCAACATTCACATCACTGGGGGGCCTCACTTTGTACCCAGTTTTAACCTCAACTGCACCTGCAATCTCCGAGGAGCATAACGAAGCCGCTCGGGGTGATGAAGCGCATCCTGAACAATAAAAGGACACCCTAAACCATCTATTGCATGTATGTATACATATACATGTATATATGTATAATATATATATATATATAAATATAAATATATAAAAATATAAATATATACAAATATATAAATATAAAAATATTTACATACATAGATATTTTTTAAAAAAAAAAACAATATATAAATATAAAAATATTTAAGTATATAAATATATAAATATATAAATATAAATATATATAAATATATAAATATAAAAATATATAAACATACAAAAATATAAATATAAAAAAATAGATATATAAATATATAAATATATAGATATAAAAATGTATCAATATAGAAATCTACAAATATAGAAACATA